AGCATTTAGCAGAGCCACAGTTCCACATGCATTTCTGATAGTCTGCTGCAAAAAATATACTTGGTCACTGTGTGACTGACCAGATGCTTTTTCTTCTGTCCCAAGTGTTTCATGCTGAAAAATAAATTGATGTTCAATACTCTTCCATTACCAGATAATATAATATTAATTATGTAAAAAAACAAAACGGTGAACTAAAAAGAGCAGGCAGAATAATATTTTTTATCAAACTGAGTATAATTTTCACATGAATTTTCCCATCAAAATTAATTACTCGATAATACAGGTTTAAAGTATATGTGCACAAAAAATTGCCCCATTATATGGTTTCCACTAGGACTAATCTGGGGCAAAATAAAGACTTTATACAAACCCCAGACCTAAAAAAAAAACAAATTAAAAAAACAACTTGGAATGCTTTCTTAGCATATTCTACCTGATTTCCTGATGGATACAGCAATAATACAGCCAAGACAGGGCTAGGAACAGTAGCCAGAAGTTCATCATCCAAACCAACTACATCAACGACTGACCAATCCTTCGGTACTCCTAGTTTGTGTATGAACTGAACAAAAGTAATGCAAGTTAAAATTATTTAAAACTTGCCCTACATATTTATCTACGACAGTAAATATAGTCCAATAATTTTTATTATTATTTATTATGATTACACAATACTTCAGTACAAAAAAAATATTTTGAATAAACCAAAACCTGTTTTACTTGGGAACTAGGGATTAATATCATTGTTAAAGTTTAAGCTTACTTACCAATTTTTATGAAACTTTTAACAAAACCCAAAAATGTTACATCCAGCACGATTACCTTAGTCAATAAATAAAACTTTTATCAAGATACTAACATGTTAATGAGACAAGTTAACACTATTATGAAGTCACATTGTAACTGTTGCTAATTAAAAAATTAGTTATTCCAGTTGTTAGAACCCTTGCCTTTAACAGGAAAAATTAAATAATGTTTAATAATTTTATAATAATCATTGATGACCACAGTGTAAAAGAAAATTATGAAAGACTGCAATCAACATCTCCATTAATTCCTTATTCAGAATCAATAATATTCGTTTCAGGTGTTACTTTGGAGTAAAAGTAATTTAAATGTTTTTTGTTGTTTTTTTTAAGAACACTTTCCAATATTTTTAAGGTGCTCTAAACAAATTTCACTACACCACCAAATAAGTTTCAAAGGTAACAAATTTCAATGTATTCAAATTTCAAAAGTAAGTAAGATATGCAGATAGGTGAAAAATTGAAATCAAAGAGTTACTGTTATGTTATTGTTAAAACAAATATTAATCAAAATGACCTACACAAAAAATTAAGTTTGCAAAATATTAAGTAATTATGTACAAAAGAAAACAGAAATTTGAACAGACCATAGCTCTTTGTCATTATTAATTTATACAGCATAGACCTAATAGTAATACAACCATTGCAAATGTTTTGAAACCGCAAGTAATGACGCAATTCCAGCCATAGTAGTCGCAAGTTAGTCGGGCTGCGGTTGCAGATTCATCAATCCTTCTTCGATTTCCTGGAAGACTCGCCTGTACTCAAATGCACATACTGACGATACTACCAGATTATCGAAGTACCTTCCGCTACCACTGCACAGAGCTTGAATAATAAACACTGGAATTTGGAAAGTAACGGCAGCATCACAATTACAAATTACACTGTTACAGTGCTTACCTTGTTCATTACCTGGAAATAAAAAAATCACGGCCTTTAAACGTAATACTATAAATTATGATGTTACAAATTTATCATAAAACAACTGTACTGATTAATCCCACAAAAAAACAACAACTTGAAATTGTGAACGATATCCAATTACAAACGTGAAAAACATTGAATTAAACTAAAGTTTAAGTAATAAGACAGCAATGCAGTAAGTAGGCTTAGTTTTGAAATATTTTACTTTTATAAGTTTATTAATGAAATACATATTAACACATTAAAAATAAAATATTATATGTAACTTTATAACATCAAATACTCACATCAGGGTTT